CGAAAAGCATAAGTTGCGAAAAATTATGGCATCTTTGGGAAAGCTAAGGGCTACTCCCGAGTTGCGTGCAGGAATATCTCCACGGTGATTTCCTTGTAAACGTGGATTTGCCTGTCGTGTGAATTTTTGTATTGTATTGTGCTTGAATATGGTGGTAAAGACACACCTGGCAATATGGCCGTAAATACACGCCTGCCCACACACGCTAGGCTGCAACGTTCTGGCACAGATAAGAGCTCTCCTCCTGTGACCACCACCACCACCATCAGTGCGCGCCTGGCGCCTAGTCGATGCATGGTTGGCGATATCCGACATAGCAGAAGATGACACAGCAACGACATACATGTAGCTCGATTGCGACGTACGTTTCGTTCCCGCTGGACTCATCAGGCAATCTTCTTCTTCTCGGATGTCTTCACACAGAGCTTTAGTATTTTACTCGGTAGAATGAAGTTGAAGACACCACTGCAGCTGTACTTATGGTTGAATATGGTGGTAAAGACACACCTGGCAATATGGCGTTGTATTGTATTGAATTTATTTTACTTCCGCGGTGGCTCAACACTACAATGTACTACAACAAAGAGGACCGAAAAAACGATCATTTTCAGGAGATAAAAAAGGAAAAGAAATAGCAAACCAAAAACTAGATGAAGTGAGAAAAACAACAAAAGAAACAGGTACACATGTATATAAGCTGTATGTACACTCAACTCTGTGGACAGCAACTGTTTCGCTCTGTTAGAGCTCCTCAGCACAGCTCAGAGGACCGAAGTGCAGCTCTTCGCAATGAAATACGTTTCCGTGAAGCAAAGAATTTTTATAAAGAAGCTGTATGTACATGTACATGTATGTCAGTTTGAGCACTTTGATCTGGGAAGGTACGTTTGGGCCTGGCTTAAATCTGGCTTTGGAAAATATATTTTTCATCGCTATCAGGTTAGGCCTCATTTTCTCTGTGCTGCGCTGATGAGTCCACAAAGGACGAAACAGCTCTGTCTGCAGATTGAGTAAGCTGTATAGTGTTTACCCTCACGTGGCAAAAACTCTGTTTCCGTAAAGAAGGTTTAATATGGTATCGCCTATTAGCAAGAGTACAATGTACATACATGTAACCATGGTAACCCAGGGGGTTATGTACTCTTGCCAATAGGGCATGGCATCTGTGAACGTTTCGGACCAAAAGACCAATCCCGAAAAGATTGTCTGGGTTCGAAAGGGGGCATGTCAACTGAGCCGGTACACTGTCTGTACAACACATACATGGCACTACTGATCAGCATGCGGCACATGACGTGTTTGATTGTTTGCGTGTGAATGCGGGGGTAGGTACACAGTGTTCTCGTTAGTTGCATGCAAGATAGACAATGCGACAGAAAGCAAAGCCCTTTGTGGGTTTTTTATCTCTCGCACTGGTAATGTTCTGCTGGTGGCCCGGTCGAAATGCTAAGCCATAATACATGTTTGGCTAAAGCTGATAGCCAGTTACTGTTGTTGCAGACTCAGTGACGTCAGTACCATCAGTCAGTGTCGTGCAATGTTATCGCATGAGCTGATTGTTTTGTAACTGGTAGTGTTAGTGGACATTATAGCGTAACTTGTAGTTCCTGGGTCCTTTTTCTTTTCTATAAATTTATCCTTGGCTCTCCATCCGAGTCCATTCTTGCACGCCTGATGAGCCATCCTTATCTATGCAGCGAAACTATCGTCGTGTGAAACCGTTGCTTGTTACTGCTGCTTATTGCCCATCTAAGTTGTCTACGTGGAAGTACAGTGGTATTTTACTAAGGCGTTCGGTTTTGCATGTTCTTGTTCTCATAGCTTCCCCTTTAAAAAGGGGAAGTTGAACCTAAAATCAAATTTTCACCAGTTGTCGTCTTCGGGGTGCTGAGTCGAATAGTCTTGGTCCGAGGAAGCTGAGACGCTCCCTTCCTCCTTTATTCCCAATTGAACTCGCGCACTTCTGCCGAAACTGGGTGATTGCGCCCTACTAGACGGGGATTTATATGCACAATGTCACTAAAAGCACCATTTCATTCCTATAAATGCACGGATGACCGCGATTGGTCCATTATGTTGTAGTCATTTGGACGCCGAATCGACTGGTTTTGGTCCGAAAAGGCTACGATGTAGCGTTCGGGCCCTTTCCCAATCGAACATGGTTGAACAAGCGGTCACGTGTCCCTTTCGTACACCAGTCACCTGGTCACTGTGCCAGCATGCTAGCAGGTGACAACTTTCACACCATTTACGAGGTTCAACTCGAGTGACAGGAATGCACTCAAATAGGCTGTAAGTAAAGCCTAGTTCACATTCGACGCAACGCTGACGGTACGGGACGTAAGGGCTTGTCGGGAGGGCTGGGGTGAGCTGTAAAATCCTGTACGATTCGTACGACACGACATGCAGCAGTCGTTGCGACGTTCAACGTCGAACGGCGCGAGTCATAAGGCACGGTCCGTGACGGGGTGACTTTCGGACCTATTTTCTCGTTTTTCGGGACTTCTTTTCAATTATTTCTCCTTGAAAGAAGCAGAACCAAGTTCACAATACCAGTTTTTCATGAAGACCAAAAAATTAGCCCTGAAAGTTGTGGCATTCAAATAATAGCCCCAGGAAATGATAGAATAGTTCGTCTGTCACGCTTCTGAACTATCCCTAAATACAATAAGTGACATGAGATCTTATGTTGCTAAAATTCAACTCCAGTCGTGCTAGCCATTCTGTGAGTTATCATGGGAAGCGCAGTGTTCGAAATGCTAAAAATTTCCAAGTACGAATCGGGAGCAGTCGGCGCACGGCGCCGTCTCCTGTTCACACTCGAATTGCAGCCGTTTTGTACGCTTGCGTCCCCGTCTACGCCCGTCTACGGTATGAAAAGTTGGATCGATCCAACTCTTCCCGTCGCTTCCCGATCTGTACGGTAGTACGGTTGCATTCCCGTTGCTGGTGTTCACACTGGACGCCGTCAGACCGTCCCGTCGCTTCCCGTCGATCCTTACGTCGCGTCCCGTCGCGCCCCGTCGAATGTGAACTAGGCTTAAGTAAGTAAGTTGTACCCTGCATGCACGATGACCAGGTGACTGGTGTGCGCAGGAGCACATGACCGCCATCATCTGTGCTTTTAACTGTTATAAGAACGAAATGGCGCTTTTAGTGACATTCCATTGTATGCAGTCACTCAAGTAATTAGTTAGATAATTGAATGATCCTCAGCAGATCCGGGCCATACGCATTTTCTCTGCGTGTGCCACAACGAAGAGAAGCTCATCTACGCGTATAACTCTGGACCCAAAACACACGATTGCACTTAGCCGTAGACTCGAACCCAGACACCTGCTCTCTACGTGATTTCTCTACGTTTCGCGGAGACCCTCTCTAATGACGTACTGAAGTAGGAACTGCACGCATATTTTCATATGCAAGTGTGTATGTTTTCAAACGTGAAAATCTGCGCTGTTGGGTTTCCCTCTACAGTTGAACCTGGTGTAAGTGACCTCTGGGCTTAGTGACCACCTGCTCTTAACCACCGCTTTTCCATGCACGGACAGTTCTACACAGACACTGTGGGACCTGGTTCTAAAGACCACCTGGCTTTAACGACCGCTTTTGGTTGCACCGTGGGGTGGTCGCTCGAACCAGGTTTTGCTGTACGTGGTTTCTCCACGATCTGAAGGCTGAGTGAAGCGTGCCTTGTTACATTGGAGATGGGTCCGCTGCATGCGCCCACTGCATGCGCCCACCGCCTGCACAACCTAGACCATGTTCTCCATGTACTTGTACGGTAGTTTCCACCTGCTCGGTGGACCTTGTATTTCGCGAAATCGCGAGGCTTGAACTAGTTACTTTGCCATGGACAAATGCGGGAACTGCGAAAAAAATATTTCAAAAACACCTACGGGGGACCGACCGTAGGAAAGCACTTTCCTGCGGAAATCCGTAGCGAGATTTACGTATGAACGTTGCCCTCGCTCCCGGGTGTGCACAACATACGGTTCATTGCACAAAAACAAACAAACAAATAAATGAAGGCAGACTACAATAAGGCATCTCAATCCTTCTCTGGTCAATCGTGTGAACATTTTTTTTCGGTTTGCTTGAGACTCGGTTAGACCATGCTGAATTCTCAGTTTCCATGGGAACCCCACCACCCTGCTGCAAAGATCAAAGATGCAGCTACTAAAGCGGTGGCAGGTGAGTAGTTTACTAGATCAACCCACCAGCAAAGTGGTCGAAGACCGAAATCTCAATCGCTGCATCCATGTTTCCCTCGTGCCAGGCCACAACTGAGTCTTCCTAATTAACTAACTGTGGGCTGCAGCGCGGCTGGAAAGAATTTTCCGCTTCCAAGCAAGACTTGAACCTCATACCCACTGGTTCTCAATCATGGTCTTGGACCATACCACTATGCCTGCCTGTGTGAACATAGTGGGTTCTATGGATATTAAATATCCATAATTTTGTCGCTGAGCGGGAAATTTGAGATTAATAACCCACTCGCTGAAAATCAGCCTGAGGCCGTGCTTTTCGCAGAAGATTGTAGTTATCCACAGCTTCCACTGGACTTCTTTGAGTTTCCTTGGTTTTCAGTCTTATTGTGTTGTGAAGTGGAGCGATACTCTAGAGGTCGTGCTGATGCAGCTCTGGCCCAGGAGCGGGGCTGACAGACTGCCAGAAGCGAATGATGACAACAAAAATACAAAATGTAGCTCGTGCGGGTGAGATTTTTTCGGTTCAAATCCAGTGTGACCGTGATGAAAAGCATAAAAAAATATTCCCGGTTTATAATCCGAGGATTCACGGTTCCCTCATTGTGACCGGCCCCTTATGATGCACGCATCAGGATAATCAGATCGGGAGCAGCAGGATTCTCGCCTCAGTTTGTTGCCGGCACCCTGCCACACCGGCCAATACCACCACCACTGTGTCACATGCACACGTACAAATCTAGGGACGATGAGTTTGTGATGCAGTGCATTGCCTATCCTGGCACTCCCTACCTGGTTGGATGGGAATGAGAGCTTGCTCTTCAACCCTGGCGTCGTCAATGGCTGATTGGTGGTCAAGTTCACTATCCTGATGTTCCCGGCCTAGCGGTCTCTTTGCAATGAGAGCATACATAAACATAGCGATGTTAGTATTATAATGTTACCCACTTAGATCTTAGACACCATACGCAATGGTTGTTGTGTTAACCTACTTAATGGCCTCCAGCCTGCCTGCTAAACATAACATGCGCAAACAGCTCATCTTACCTAAACAGATACATAGTATCCAGATATCTGGGAGTTTTTAAATCTGATTTGGATAGAAAGCAGGCAGGCTTGAAACTCTAGTTACAGGCGCATGGCACCGTATCGCAGAATTCGCAGGCAAAGCAGCTAGAGTTTGCCATGCCCGCAAAACAGGATTATAATGTATCGCAGCGTTCATTCAATGTGTCAATGCATGTGTCAATGCATGTGTCAATGCGTGCACTGGACGTGTACGCGTGCACTGTACCGGGTAGGTCACCATCATGCATGATTACACATCATGTGGGTCTTATGTTAGTCTCCCGTCATGAGCACAAGATTGCATTAGTGCATTTTATGCAGTGCTTACACTTGTAGGTCATACCAGGGGTGTCGGAAGGTAATTTAATGTGGTACTGTCAGCCATCTGAAGTACAAATTTACTCGTGGGTGAGGGGTAGCTGAGCCGATAATTTTGGAAATTTAGAGCCCAAGCCAGTGGATTTTATTGATTCACGAGGTTCTTGGGGCAAATAGTGGAACGGTCACTACCGTAGTGAACGTACCGTGTGCGACACCCCTGCATACTGTCATCGGGATGATCCACTCCCCAGTTACTATCGTTGTCTGTTGATCCTATTGGCCGCATGTAACTAAGAGTATAGTGATGTGCACCGGTAATTCTTCACGCAGTCACAATGGTTAGCTCGGTGTTATCCTGTCCCCATTGCGTCAACCACTAATCCCTGACCATTCAATTCCAGTGTCCGCATGTTCTTCTCTTTCGTTTCGGACCTGCCTATATAGACGCTCCACTGCAGCCCAGTCACATCTCATTCTGCCTATATACTGCAGCGCAGTCGCCGGCATCTCATTCTGCCTCTATAAACGCTCCACTACAGCCCAGTCGCATCTCATTCTGCCTCTCTCTCTCTCGACGCTCCACTGCAGCCCAGTCTCGCCACATTCCGACTTACCCTGCCTCTGTCGGATGAGGTGCTGTGATGTCGCTGCACCTGGCGACCTGCTCCGGAGCTGCCGGCGTGCAGATGTGACTGGCGTAATTCCCCCTGACCATCGTCCTCGTCATCAAAGATCTTGGAGCTCACCTGGTAAGGAAGGCACATGTAAACGTACAGCAGGTTGTGATGTATCTAACTTATACAAGTATGACATCTGCAGGGGCAGATCCAGGAGGGGTTCCAGGGGTTCCGCGGAACCCCCTAAATTTCGTAAATGTACTACTGGCAACCATATGCATGTCCATGTCCATGTATATGTAGATGTACATGTATCCGACTGAGCTACTACAGTACTAGCATTCAGTTTTGAGTCTTTTGACTATACTGGAACCCCCCTCTAGAGATCGCTGGATCCGCCGCTGCATCTGTGCATGGGTAGTTGAGAGAGAGCATGGTATCTGTGTACGGGTAGTAGGAAGAGCAAGGTGTCTGTGCATGGGTAGTAGGAAGAGCAAGGTGTCTGTGCATGGGTAGTTGGGAGAGCATGGTATCTGTGGCACTCACAGGTGCTCGAGTAAGAACTACAATATGTCATGTACTACAGCCTAACAGGGTGGGTCCTGATAATTCAAATGTGGCCTAAATCAAACATCAGTGGCCGCGTAGAGGTTTCTTCCAGGACTGATTTCCAAATTGGAAGTTAGCAAGGCAGAATTCACTGTACATTGTACAAGTCAGTTAGTCAGTCAGCGGGCATGAGCAGACTGCCCTGACAAGCTCAGCAAGGGTCAGTCTGGAGTTCCAGATCCATAGGAAAGCGGCCAGGATCAAGGATTAACGCACAAGTGCAGCAGCAGCAGCAAAAGCCATTTTTTCTTTTAACACACACCGCGCAAAAAACCTCTACTTGTAGGTAGCTGTGTGTATGGGCTGCATGTACGCGAGGCACACTGTACACAGTTTGAACAGTGCCACATGTACCCAGCACTGCAGGCCCGCCGAAACTAGTCCGGTTGGTCAGGTCATAATCAGACCAACTTGTTGGCCAGCAACACGTGTTTACTAGTACTGCTGAGGAGGTTATGTATACCCTCCACGTCATACACAAAGTGTGAAAGGCTAGCCTGGGTAATGCCATAACCAGCAAAACCTGCTTCCGGCGGGCCTGCTTTGAGTTCTCAATCAGTCATCATGATGTGTGAAGGTCTTACTGGTTCCAGGCTGCTGCTAGCTGATGCATAGCCGCCAGCTCTGTAGGCCTGTCCGGATGGCTGTGCCGCCTTTTGAGCTGGTGAATGCGGCGGTGTTTGTCTTCCTGCCACCTGCATGTGCGCGCATGCACACACACACACACACACACACACACACACACACACACACACACACATACATGCACACACATGCATATACGCACATGCATACGAAATGTCTGCCCTCCTAGTCTACAACGAGCACTGGCATGTCAGACTGTTCATTTGTGCCTTCTAACTAGGAGTGAAACGAGTGCCAAAATTGGGGACTCGAGTACTCTTTGAAAAAACGAGCGAGTATTCGAGCAAGTACGATGATTTTACTGACAACATAAAACAATGCACTGCACACATTCTCGCAACATCACACGTAGTACACCCGATACACATGTAGTCTTGCATGCAGCCTAGTGCAGGGAATAGTCTGAACTACTGTCTTTTGCTGGTAAGTAGGGACAAGCAATAATTTCGCACTTGCATGGACCATCAGTACCAGTCAGAGTAGCAGAAATGCTTGATATACATGCATACAATACAATGTACATAGGATTCTTCGAGCATTTTGCGAAACGAGTACTCGCTCGTTTCAAATTTTCGAGCGAGCGCTCGAGTATTCGATATACTCGTTTCACCCCTACTTCTAACGTCAATAATGTCAAACGTAAGCAATGATGTACCTACATGGCAACGTGAAACCATCTACTCAAGCATGTAGCCAAGGTGCAGCGGCTGCATACTTTAGTACCTGGTTTCATGTACGCCATGTGCATGTACATGTACATCAATACTACGGTGTAACTGTATCAGAACTGACAGAAGGTACAAATGAAAGGTCTGACATACAGGATGCCAGTGGTCGGTGTAGTACAAACACTTTCTAGAAACATGGTCCTCGCTAAAAAAAGCTCAAAATGAAAAAAAGGTTCTTTCGAAATTAAAAAAGAGAGGACCATAAGTTAACAAGTTATCCGTTTTGTCCAACACCAACTTGGCTCAAATTACCTTGCTAAAGTCGTTAGGGGGATCCCCAGTTTCAGACAGGCTGTGTCGTCTTTCTCCAGGGTCCCGTCGTGGCTCGTGCTCACCCACCCGGACAGCGGCCTGCGTTGTCAACACTTTCATCTCGCGACTCGCGGCTATAGACAAGAACATGGAAAGGAGCAGAGCAGGTTGGCAGATGTCAGACACACTGGTGATATTGTGTACGTTAGTATGCAGCAGCAATGTGGCCGGTGCAGTTGTGAGCAAACGATGTGAACTAGGGAGGTTGTGCTCACAGCGGGTTCGCGCTGCGGCCGTGTGCGCAAATTTGCGAAAATCTCTACGGGATGTGCAGGATGATACGGGACTGGAGCAAAACAGCCCATCATCGACATCCAAAGGGTAAGCAGCTTTCAGTTAATTGTTTGTCAGTATCTACAACTCGGAGTCATGTCGCTGGTGTGAATGAGGTCGGCCAGAGAACGCATTCGGTGGGGGTGGAATTGCATCATTGACATTCACATTTTATTTCAAGGATTCTCCAAAGGCAAATGGATGGCCTATCAAGCGGAGTCTCCCAGAGAAAACGAGGTGAGACGGATGTAAGGTGATCGTCATCGGGGAAGGGGAGAGGGAACACATGGCAGAAAGGAGGCAACACAGCAAAACAATCAGGAACGGTCACGAAGGAAACAGAAGCACAGCTATAACAGACCAGTAGAACGGCCCTGCGGTGATGCCATGGACATAGAGACTCGTAGCTCGGCTAGCAAGTTACAGATTCTCATGGCCATTGGCTTTGGTGTGCGTGTTGTAGAGAAGCTTCACGGTTTTTTGAAGTCGTACACTGTACTGTTGGTGCAACAAGCTAAAATACATCAAAAAGTTGAACAGACAAAAACAACAAACAAAAAAATGGTATAAGCAACAGCTGGATGTACATGTACGCACGTGTCTGTGTCAGGTCCGGTAGCCGACGATGGTAACCGGGCTCGTAGCCGCTTGGTCCATCATCATGAAGACCGGAGGAGGCGGTCGGTGATGGCACACGTTGTCTCTGTGCAATACAACAACACCAAAGTGTTTACAAGAGCAGCACAAGTGAAGATTCGAGACGCCAAACGCGACATGCCCCTACCAAAGTTCACAGTGAGGAGGCCAAGCTGGGTAGGGATGCTCACAGAGGAAGCAGCAGCAACAGTAGCATCCATGCTAGTAGCTGAGTGTGAGTACAGCATGGCACAGTCCGCAAACCGAGACTCGGTTACACCCGACTGAGACGAAGTTAATGACTCTTGGCTATCCGATCGCCATGGCAAGAAGCTGACGTCCAATTTTGTGTGTTACACCATACATGTACATGTACATGCGTGCCCACGCACACGACCACGCACACACAAAATACATGTACATGTATAATTATTGCTGTCCACAGATTTGTGTATAATTATACAGATAAAATCACATACAGTCAGACCTCGCCTGACCGCACACATCTGTTTTCCTCAATAATATCCGGATAGGCGAGGGAACCGGATAATCGAACACACATAATTAGGGGTGAAACAATTAT